TTATGAAATAGATACAATGTTGCACGTCGTATCTGACATAGAAGAGGGTATAGATTGACAAGTGGGTGACGTGCTTATGGGCGTGTTCTTTTTTTAACATGGCTTGGTAACGCCGCTATGGTTTTGTGTACAGATTGACTTTCGGAAAAAGGAAATGACTCAGAATCATTAGCAAGAAACTAGCTGAACTCGAAAACTCGGACAAGTCTTTCTTCCATGACCTGGCGACATCGTGATAGCGAAGTTCAACAGTATCTCCAAATTCTTAATTATTTAAATAGTCTTTTGTGTCGGACGAATTCAAATAAAAATTTACTAAGACAATCAATAGATGAAGAGCGCAATTCTGCACCAGGAAACATTGGAATATTTTCTTTTGGAAGCTCTTCAACATATAGCTCATACCAAACTGCTAAGTATATATTTTCATATAGTGGCTTGTAAAAGACCTTTTCGCCTTTTCGCTTTTTCGCCCGCGAAAAGACGCCAATTCATGTTGATATTTAAAAAAAAAATCAAAAAAAAATCAGCACTGCTATAACATACAAAAGCTGAAAAACGATTTTTTTTTTCAAACGTATTGATTTTAAGACTGTCAACAATTGGTCGGTTAACAACAAGTAGGTTTCGGTTTTTATTATTATTATTATTATTATTTTATCGGATGTGAAGCATACACATTTGTGTATTGTTTTAACAGCAACAGCACCGGTACAAATAAATAACAATATTACAAACTCTTGCATAGCGATATTACTATATATGGAAGTAAGCAGAACCTCACAATATTACTCCCATAATGCATTTCCCGATTCAACCAACCGAATGAATGGATTGTGTGCACGTAAGCCTTCTGACTGCGCATTTACTATACGACATCGGTGTTTTTGGAGAGGGGAGGGGACACGGTTTTACTTTTCAAAACAAGCTTGAAATCAGTAAATGTTGATATAAAAAACGATTCCGTGGCGGTTTTTTAGCAAAGCCTTGGTTCATTTTTTTAGAGTTAAACTTAACCACTGAAAAAGTATACATTGACATAGAAGTCCTTATATCATAGTATCAGTTTGGTATCATCAGCGTCCATTTTTATATCCAAATATCTATGTATACATCAGTGTATACCTTTCTTTTTTGCATTGAGCGTTCTACAGCAGCTATACATACATGTAAAGGTATACTCGTACCCTATCCGGTTTTTTATTTGAACATTTCAGTAGGACAGCTAAATGGTATATTTAAAAAATAAATGAAATAAATGCAAACACATAATATATATCATTTGCAGCTTTTAAACAGTATAAGTTAATAAGTATCATTTACATTTGTACAAATCACCGACTTGTAGCACACTCCGGGATGCAGAGTACGGACACGTTTGGTCTTCACATGTTTTGATCAGGGGCGTCTCTTACCTGACTGCACTGTTTTGTGGGAACTATTTTATTTCACATTTTATTCAAATATTCAATGTCGTGTTTCGTTGTGTCCTGTATTGATTTGTAAAAGGATCAAGTGAACGTAGCGGTGGCAATTGAAATCTAGATTGCCTGCCATGATGGAAACTTCGTCTCTCTTCCGATATAGGTCAGACTTCTATATATATACCATATAGTTATACCATATTTGGTAATGCAGGCCACATAAAGTAACGGGGACTGAGAAAACATCACATGTGATCTGGCATGGCGGTAGTCTTATGTTAGGCGTTAGTTATAAGTAATCTTATAGATTGGACACTTCTTTTTTACTCCATTCGTCGGTATAGGATCGATTCAAATCGTATAAAACCGTCTCGTCGTCAGAAGCCATGTTTCCAAGCCAATGCGCTCATAGCAGTCAAAGTACAAAAATGAAATATAAAAGGGCGGTATACCAGGAGACTACAGAATATTATTAAGTAAAGTCCTCTTCGACAACAAACATGGGATTGAAATATATATCACGCAACGTTAGTGCTACTTTAAGAAAAACTATACCGGGTAGTAATGCAAATATATACAAGAAATAAGTATAGTAAAAGAGGGGACAATGACAAATATCATACACAGCTAACGTATATTTTATTGCACGATAGAGAGTGTTCATTTTCCAGTAAGATTGAGCTTGTTATATGTTGTTCAGTATTCACACATCATCAGCCCATGACCCGTGGTCACTAGTGTTTCGGGAAGATTTCAGGATAAAATTTATGTTCACCTATGATAAATTCTAAACACATTAAGTTGTTTTCAATTTGTAGAGATATGCTGAAAACATATTCATGTATCGACGAGGAGTCAAGGTGAATTAATTTTCAAAAAACATGTCGCTTTCTTTGGCAGGAAGCGTTCAAGGTATCATGAAAAATGTGCCACAAGCTGTTTGATCTTTGTTCAAAAAATGAAAACTCTTATAAGTAAAAGATCTAATTCTCCTCAAAAGTATATATTGTATCCTTGAGGAATTGAACTGTGATGTAAGAAAGCTGGTCAGCGGATTGCAATACATGTATATATAAAGGGCAGTCTGTCATAAGAAAACATTCTCCTGCTTCCAAATGACGAAAAACGATTCATTAACTTCTGACCATTCCGTTACACAACTAAAAGAAGAAAACATGACTAGTTAAACACCTCATAAATATATGTCTAGTGACAATTAAATTTCCAACTTCGAAGGTGGATTTTGTTTTCAATTTACTTCAAATTACTAACAAGGTAACATCATCGGTCAAGATAACTAGCCTGAGGAAAAAACGCACGTACATTGTACGTACAAACATACATACAGACATTGTTTTGGTAATATTGAATGTTAACAGTATCGACAAGATGTCTATACAAGATGTTTCAATCACGCTACACAATTCTTAAATAATTACGTCATGCAGACGTTCAGTATACATTTCAACAAACGTTGTTTGACATTAAGTTCGAGAAGTGCAATTGATGACTCCAGTACAAAATATTTATTAATTATTTCCTAACAGATGTTTTGCGCTGTGCATGGTAATTAGTTTATCTGTTAATTCACATGGTATGAAGAGGCGAGACCTTCACACACCTCAATACTTCCTGTGAATTAAAAGGTGTGTTAACCTACCTTTTAATTAACAGGAAATATTTAGGTGTGTTAAACTACCTTTTAATTAACAAGAAATGTTTAGGTGTGTAAACCGTCTCAGATCTGTGTATTACTGTCTCTTAGCTTAAAGTCATATTGGCACACATAAATTTCCAGGGTGCAGGCTTTAATGTACGACTGCTCTTTCGGATATCGGCATTACTGATGTCTTAATTTTGTTACCCAGGTATTATGTAGATAGCATGTCAGAAAACGTACACACTGGGAGATAAATCGTATAACCCGTCGCATAGAACGACTAAATGTCGTACGCAAAGACCAACATCCCTTTTAAGTACATGTACACTACCTTTTGATTTCAGAAATGATTTATCAAAGTAATTAGTCGTGACGAAATATGATTCGATGGTGTACTGAAAAGTTACTGGCAGTGATACGGGAATCCTTTTAGCCGATGGTACAGTACTGGTCTACACGCCAAGCTACCATGGCTTTACATTCTCAGGGAGATACCTCGTATAGCCCATTGCATAACGGCTCAATACCGTGTAAACGGCATGATAAGCGAAATAGTTGAAAATTCCTTGAACAATAAAACAAGTATATAACATGAACGGAAATAGAATGCATGCTGTATTCTTCGCATGCTGTATTCCTACGGCTTAGCCGTTTTTATTGCGCTCGTACCAACTTTTCCCTTTTGAAACAAATATGTATTGATTAGTCACGTTTTGTTTCAGTGAAAGAATAAAACCATGGATTCCCCAAAAGATATTTTACTTGTTTTTATTTCCCTCCTGTGATTATAGTAAACTCATTGCTGTGTTCTACCCAGCACAGGTAAAATTTGGTTAGGGTAAGCGAATCTGATCGGGGACCGGATCACCGAGGACCGTGATGATAGTTTTGATGGAACGCGGAGGTCGATCCTCCGCGGGTTTTCGTGACATGATTACGTAACATGAGACGCGAAGGATCGCGGTGATGCTATCATCAAGGTCCCTGATGTGATATAGCACCGCGTTTGACCACTTAAATGAAATTCTTGACGCGATGGCTGGGTGAACTAGTTACACTTACTGTGAAGAGATCTGTACCACCTGTGCCAAGCAGTCTTAATATTTGACCAGTAGATACCTTGATTTTTAAGGTAACTGTGGTCTTACATGTTCACGTTTCAAACAACATTATATAACAAAAACACTTCTATATGCTATAAAGACCAGAAGCGCATTTATTTATATGGACAAAACCTTGAAAATTTAGTCCAATAGTCATAGCATAGAAACGAGTAGTCATAAAATGGAATTTTTATGTGTTTTAGGGGTTTAGGTCGACTTTCGGTAAGCATCAATAAATTAATTAATAATATATGAATAAATAGATTGATAGATAAACCAATCAATAAATATAAGGCATGTTGTACATTGAAATACTACTCATTCGAAATCATGTAAGCTATTCTATAACATGTAAACTAAGGCATGTTTAAGACACCACGGACAAAATCCTTCCCCAGTTGAGAGTTGGGGTGAGAAATCGTGTCTGGGTGAGAAAAAGTGTCACCTATGCATATTAGTTTTGCACGATTTCTCACCCTGCCGAGAAATCGTGCCGGGGTGAGAAATTGTATTTCGAACGCAGCACTTTTAGCACGATGTCTCTCACCCGGGTGAGAAATCGTGTCTGGTTGATAAATCGTGCCGTAACAGACACTGAGATATGGACACTGATGTCATTGTGTGTATACCTTGCCAGTTATCGTATTCATTAAGTTTGTATGTAGCCGTGATCAGTCTGTCATCTCAACATTAAGAATAATCAAAGCAACAATGCGTTTTATCGAAAGTTTGTTGGTATACAAGTACTTAGTAAGTCAAATTGAAGCGAGAAAAACAAAATAAAAAAATAATGTGAGAAAAATAAACTCGTACCTGCTTGTTGCTCCCGTACCGAAGTCCACCCTGCAGTGTGTGTCAAGTTCTGTGATCACATATACAAGGTGAGGAAGTTATCTTACAAGCCTGTACATATCATAAACTGTAAAAATCAAAAGAGGAAGTTGATCTGGTTGCTTTATTGTCAAATCTAATACGCTCCCCACCTTTGTTTTCACTTGTAAGATAAGCACTAAACTGTAGAAACAAGTTAACGTATTTAAACATTTACGATAACGATTTAAGGAGAATGATTCAAGTTTAACCTCACTGTGCTTTACAGCAGCAATGAATCGATAGCTTCGTGGAACTACTATACGTTTACTTTCGCTTTCACTATTTTTGCTTTATAATCACTGTATGTTTACTTTCATGTTCTTTATTATGATATGGGTTCATTATCTATGTTACGTCGCCTACACAATTCTGGCCTAAGGCGAACACAAACTGTGAACAATAGATGAGGAAATAATTTAAAAACAAATGAATACCGACCAATCACGGGTTTTGTGATTATAACATAGCATTGATTAATCTATATAAAACTAAAGAGAAAATAGGAATATTTACATATATGTGTTCGGACAGTGTAAGCGTCGTCTGCTTCACATACAATTTCCCCTAGGTCAAATCCATATATGCGAATTTAAATATGCTAACAGTTTACAATGAGCTTTCGTCATTCTATATTTGTTAGGAACATTCGGACACCACATATTGTTTTGTTTTAAATAGTTTTAAACGGGTTATCAAGATAACTCGAATTTTTATAAAACATCGATTCTTCAGGGCAGATATGGAAAATTCTACCAGATTATTGCCGATGTTCGATCCCAAATTAACATTTAAAGGTAGCAAACGTTATTACTGACAGTGTTTTTTACAACTTTGTTCTTTGATTTTTAGTGAATATTAACATTGACATTTGCGGCAGTAAATACGGTACATTTACTAGAAAACGTAATATCTATTCAATTTTGTTATATGTTTTTTGTAGAAGTGTTTTATCAAATCACTGTTTATAAACGTGTTGCAATGTCAATTGTCTAGTTTTAACGTAAAAGGACTCTAAAACCTATCTACAATTCATGATGAGGCCAGAAATGGCTCTGAACGCCCCTTGTCCTTTGCTTGTTTGCACTTTCGAGACAAGGTTTAGGAAAACTAGTTTATTTTCATGGACTGGATGTCAGTCTTTATGAATATGCAAACGCTGGAGCCATTCCTAGCGCAAGACATACAACACATGGGAACAATTCGCTACGACCATATCTGACACGTCTAGCTTTGCAATGTATATAAGTGACGAGTTATTTCTTAATTAAACCGTTTAACATTCACAATACTGATTATACAGTCGCAGAGAACATGCTGTACAACTCTATTTATTAAATGAAGACAAAAAGTATTGTTAAGAAATTGAAAATATCAAAAAACTGAATAAAAATAATGATATTTAGAAAACGTGCTCGACTGAAATTACCATACTACATTCTTGCATAAATTAAATTTTGTTTTAATATATGAACGATATATTAAATTAGAATATTTAGAGGGTGAAAATATTAAATGATAATACTACATGTATAAAGGGAAAGTGTTAATAGGGGGGAAAGAAATACATTTAAAGGTTGTCGAAAGTGCAAGTACCATGGATCGATGTAGAAAGCAAAAGTACCAAGAAATATCGGAAGCAGCCTGTATGAGATTAGTACCAAGAATTGTTGGTGATAGTGAAAGTGAGTCACTATACATTATTGTGGAAAATGAAAGTACCACGAATTGTTGGAGATAGCGAAAGTGTGATTACTGTTTATTATTGTGGAAATTGAAAGTACCAAGAATTAGTGTGGATATCGGATGTGATTCGCTGTACATTATAGAACCAAGAACTATTGCAGGAAATGAAAGCTCTAGAATTACTGAAGAAACGAAAGTGTTTGTAAAGAAAGTACAAGTCTACGGACTCAAAATATTGTTACATGACAGCACTGTTACATGTATAGAAAGTAAAGCAAGAATTACGAACAGTTGTATTACTAAAAACACCATAACATTTCTATTTATTGCATTTTTAAAGCATAAAACATGAAAATGTAATGCATTAGAAAAGGGCGGGAATCAGAAGCGTAATAATTAGTGCCATATTATAATGACATCACGCTTGACAACAAGGCTGCGCGCCATTTTAAATGGGATACTCAACGCAATTCCGACGTTTCTGCGATTTTCTGGTATGATTGCTTATAAAAATGTTATTAACTGTATATTTATTTAAGTACTTAAGTGTGTGTACCAAACATTTACAATAACAACCACTTATTCTACCGTCGCTTCATTTGAATCTGAACAAAAATATCGTTGCCTTTGAATGCAGCGAATAGAAGATATCGTTATGATTGGTCAATACCAAAAAGTGATAATTCACACCATAAAAGTATCTCTTTTGATATTTGCACAGTATGAAAGATATCAGTTTTATCAAGTTGATAGAATCCGTTATTTCACTGGCAAAAATGTAGTAAAAAATAATTTTACTCAGAGAAAAACCAATCAAACTGCTTGTTTTATGTGGTTTCCAGTTTATTAAAATAATGGTAAATGGGTTGGTTCAGGTCATAGGAAAAGGGGTCTCACGGTTTATCATGGGGGTAGGGTTGGGGTATTTAGAGTCGCGACATAAAGTAAGAAGCTTTGTTATATCGTCTAGAAAATCGGTAACATTTTACAATTGTACCATAGGTAAGTAAAGGTAGGTTATTGCTGTGTATTCGTGTCAGACAAAACAAAATTTGTGGTTGGATTTTTGTACCTGTCATCCAATTATATCCAGATCTGTGACTTACCTTCAGATAGATTCTTAATGTGTTTTTTAAAACATTTTTTTTTTTTTTTTTTTTTATCAAATGACATCATTGATGTTTCTGCTGTTTTTTATTTCTTAAAAATTGTTATTAGTATATGTACAGTGGATATCTAAAGATTATTATACCCCTGTTTCCTGTCGGACATCAGCTTGGCCAGACCATCCTATATTAAGTATTGTAATAGAAAACGAAAGTGAAAGTTAAGTGAAATAATATGATGTTGGTATTTGTTTTTAAAGAATATAGTAGTGATTAGTTTATGGTTTTTTCCCGGAGAGCGAAGATCAGATCGTACTTTTCGTTTTCAGTTGATAAAAAAATGTCCTCTTAGCTAATAAGAAAAGCGATACATTTTGTCATGGCGATCTTATGGAGAGACTAGATCTAGAGCCGCGACGTATGTTATGTAGATGTTAATACATCATTACTGAGAATTTCAGTAACATTTCAAAATAACGTATAATAGGTTATTTACGTGGGCTTAAACTTTCGTGACTTTGACCGAAATAAGCATTTTTGATATGAATTATATTTTTGCGATTTAGAATTATGAAGGAGCTACTTTTTTGCAGTGTTTTTACACGGAGGCGGACACTCGTCATATGAAGTGTCAAATAGTCAAATGAATAGGCATAATGAGAGCTAATTGAGCAACAAAAGGTAGATGAGAAGGACTATCTATAAGTTCAAAAGGACTTGTTTCCTAATCATTAGAATGAAATGTCGTTTGTAATTGTACATGTTAATTGACAGGAATAAAACATGGTTTAAACTTACAAGAAGTTGTTTTTGTGTAAAACAAATCATTAACAAACTATGTGTGTTACTATACAATTGATGCCCTCATTATGGGGTCACATGACGGTTTGACCACCTGGGAGTCCTTATATTCGCCCTATGTTGACATAACGACTCAAGGGTGGGCCAAACGTCTTGTCAACTCATAATGAGGGCATCAAATGTTTAATTATTACGAATAAAAATAATAAATATGATAAGGCACGACTACCCGGTATACTAGGAGATGAAGTGAAAAGACAACATTAGTAAATAACAAACATTTATTAAATTAACTAATGTAAATATGTAACATGTGTAAAATGTCCACAATATCACATTTTTGAAATATTTATACAATTTTCATTTCTAATAATTGTTGATAATGATGGTGACGGACCAGCCACTTTCAAATTTAGGCATAAGATTCATCGCACTCATCTCTGACAGCTTGTTAAGTGAATTACTACATGTACATGCAGTAGAGTGAACGTTTGCAAATTGCGCGTTTGTAGAATGTGCGACTGTCACATACGCCGGTGCCGGTTCCAGGTCAAAGGGATGCACACACTTTCTCTTCCTCTTCTGCACATGTAGTACTAAATTTCAAACCACACCTTTTGTTGTAGGCCATACGGAGATCCAGGATAAAATACTGGCGTTTTTGCGGAATATAGAGATTTAAAATCCTCGTCAGATATTGGGGGGTGGTGATCAATTTTCCCATATCCCTTCTTTTACAAATCCCATATTACGACTTTGTACATGTTGGACGATGATGAGAACTCATGTCCGTCTATATCCAAGTACACCCTTTCCGTCATATATTTCTTTAACCCGTACTTTAGGCTGTGCATAGAAGAACTCTTGAGGGGATTCCCGTTCTCTCGGTGAACACCAGCAAAAAATAACCCAACCGACGGTCTAAAGATGAATCATCAAAATTATCCAATACCTTATCACGGCCTGTTGACTGCAGAAAGTTTCGGAATGGCTCCACTGACCCGTTAATTATTCTTTTCGTATTCTTCGAATCCTTTTCCTGCAATATCTGTTGCATTTCTCCCTCGGACGGTAGACGACACCTGCCAGAAGCAGTCATCTTTGTTGATAGAAACGCTATCCGAAACCGCTCAAGGAATATCGTTTGCTAGTACGTTACTACTAGAGACTCTTGGGAGAGGCTCATGAAGGGGGCGTCATGACGAGGGCAATATAACGATTTGTGGGCGACATGACGAAAATAGTTGTTATGCAGCGTTACTGCGGATGACATAAATATTGTTTTTTATCCCGTGATATCATATTGACTAATCAGAAACAAGAACACATGGATGAGATATAATAAAATATATTTTCAGACATCATCGCTCTTTGTGTTTATGA